CCTGGTGGTAGCAGGTCTCAGCCCTGCCCAGAAACCCTGAAGCCTCATTCAGGGCCCTGCCCTTCTCCCTCTCACCCCGTGCCTGCCCAGCCTGGGATTTGGCCTGGCACCCCTGCGACATGAGGGGCTTCCCTGGAGGCAGAGGTCCTGGGACCCAGAGAGAAGCCTTCTGCCACTGGGGGTGGGGGGCTTCCTGGAGGAGGCCATCTACTCTGGTGGAGGAGAGAGGTCGTGGACAGCTTCCACTTCATCCTCACCCGAAAACCTCCACGGAGGCTCCCATGGTTGCCCTGGGACCATTTGCCGGGTAAACCATACCCTGATGGGGCTTGCCTGTCTCTGGTCTGAGAGGCCATAGACCAGGACAGCTGGGGTTTCACTTCCATTTTGGGGGGATGACAAGTCACATGAGGAGGCCCTCCCAGCTCTCCCCACCCTTCCTCTCTCCTTGAGCTGCTCACAGCAAGGTTTTTTTGTTTACCAAACACACCACCCCCGCCCAGGGAGGAGCAGAGTTCCTGAGTAGCCCGGGGGTGGGGGAGGGGGATCATGAGCCTGACTCTGGGTCTCAGGTATGTTTCTGCCAGGTACCAAGCTGTGTGACGCTGGACAAGCCCCTTGGCCTCTCTAAGCATGAGTGTTTTCTCCTGTAACATGGGGTCTTACAGTCCCCATCACATGCTGGTGGTTAAAAGAGACTGAGAAAACCACACAGAGCGGGGTCCTGGGCTGGGCATGACTGAAGTATGGTGGCTGAGGCCCCACCCTGTAATCTAACAGACAGAAGACCGAAGGGTGTGATGATTTTTACAGTACCCCAGGAGGTAGGCGCAGTGCTTATTAATCCCATTGCACGGATGGGAATTCTGAGGCACAGCGTGGTTAGGTGACTTGGCCAAAGCACATAGCCAGGAAGCGTAGGCTGGATTCAAACCCAGGCCTGCACCTTGGATCAGCTTGGGACTGGTGGAAGTGTAGGCTCCACCTAGGGCAGGGATGGGGAGTACAGGATAGGTGAATATCCCTAGTGAAGAGCCCAGGAATGGAAGGGGCCAGGGCGGTTGCTCATGCCTGTAATCCTAGCACTTGGGGAGGCCGAGGCAGGAGGATTGGTTGAGCCCAGGAGTTCGAGACCAGCCTGGGCAAAGTAGTGAGACCCTGCCTCTACAAAAAAATTAAAAATTAGCCAGGTGTGGTGGCGCACACCTGTAGTCCCAGCTACTTCGAAGGCTAAAGTGGAAGGATCGCCTGCGCCTAGGAGTTTGAGGCTGTGGTGTGAGCTGCTGTGCTTCAGCCTAGGTGACAGAGACCCCAAAAGGGCGTGGATTGGTTCATTGGCAGATCCTCACTGGGTCTTGCTCTGTAAAGCCCAGAGTGGGGCAGGGGTGGGGAGCATACCAGATAGACTGCTCCTCCCCCAAAAAGGAGACTGCAGTCAAGTCAGTGCCCACACAGGTGTGAGGAAGGAAGGTGGGAAGGCCTCCACAGGACAGGTGGAAGGTGAGCCTCAGTACAGAGGTCCTGAGGCCAGAGAGTCCTGAAGGAGTTGGGCTGGGCCCGTGAGGGGATTGGGGTGGCAGAGGGATACAGAGTGCTTGCCAGGCCCCAGAGGGCCACAGGTAGGAGGAGGACTTTGTCCAGAGACCCAATGGTGTGAGGTCATTTCGGGGCAGAGGGACCAGAGAGGGCTGGGGTACTCAGAAGGTTTTTTTTCTTTTTTTTTTTTGAGTTGGAGTCTCACTCGGTCGCCCAGACTGGAGTGCAGTGGCACGCTCCCGGCCACCGCATCCTCGACCTGCTGGGCTCCGGCGATCCTTCCGCCTCAGCCTTCCGAGTAGCTGGAACTACAGGCGCGCGCTACCACTAATTTTTTGATTTATTGTAGGGACAAGGTCTCACCAAGTTGCCCAGGTGGGTCTTGAACCCGTGGACTCAGGCAGTCCACTCGCCTCAGCCTCCCAAAGTGTTCAAAGTGTTGGGATTACAGGTAGAGCCACCGAGCCCTGCCCTCCAGAAGGTTAATGGATGAAGAGGAAGGACAGGGAGGTTGGAATCAACGAGAACAGCAGGACTGAATCCCGACCCCGCTGTGAGCCTCACAGGCCCCTGGGCTCCCTGGCGCTGGTTTCCTCCTGCCTCAGAGCCCTGGACTGTGTTGTCCTCCCTGCCTGACTTGGGTCCAGCAATGGGCCCAGCATCTGCCCCCCAGCAGAGGTCTGGGTTCCCAGGGAGCACATGGGCAGGATCCTGAGCCTCCTTCCTGGGCCTGGGCAGTGACCAGGAATGTCCCACGCCCCAGACACTGCTGGAGGCTCTCTAGAGACACGGGGCTGGGTGGGGCTGGCCCAGGCATCTCCCCTGCATCCAACCCAACCCCCAGCAGTCCTTGCAGGGTTGGGCGTGAGTCTCCAGCTCTGGGACTCCAGGAGGTGGCTGCCACATGACATCAGTCTTCCCAGAGGCCTCTGGGCTCCCCATGGGATTTGGCTTTTTTTGGTCCGTACGTGGGGAGCAGCTTTACTGTGACACACTTGTGGGGCTGGGGCCACCCAGGGGCTTCTAACACATGAACACTGTCAGGGGAGAGGTGCATGGAGCCTCCATCCTGGGCCAGGCACCTTGCCCTTCAGCACCCCTGCGGTGGGCACGCTCGGAATCCCCATTTTTCAGATGAGAAGCAGAGGTCAGAGAACCTGTGTTCCCAGACACGCAAACCAGGATCATTTGGAGTTGGGCACCCCACGTCCGGGGGCGTGTGTCCGGCGTGGTCTGAGCCAAAGCTGAGAAGCCAAAGCTGGTCTTCACCTGTGGAACCCAGCACATTTCCACGCTGCTTGGAACCTGCCTGAGACCTGTGATGCCCTGCCCAGACCTGGCTCCGTGTGGAAACCCTGTCTGGGAGAGGGAGTAGCTGTTGGCGAGCACAGGGGTCCTCGTTACTAGCTACTCTGTGGCCTCGGGCGGAGGACTTAGCCTATCTGGGCCTCAGTTTTTTCATCCACAGAATGGCCAACCAGTCACAGGAGAGGGTGGAGTTAAAACAGATGAGGACATTAGGAGCACAGTGGCCGCCGCCTGCTTCGTGGTGTGAACAGCAGTGTGTGGCCAGCTGTCCCTGCCAAGCTGAGAAGTGCGGCATTGGTCTGCGGTAGGGATCTCAGAGCTTCAGCCAGGTCCTGGGTGGAAGGTGGCGGTGCCACCCATACCTGGACCTCACCCTGGGGGAGCTCCTGGCCAGCGGCAGGCACTAACAGGAAAGTGAATCAGCAAAGTATAGGTATAGGAGCCTGTGCCGAGAAGGGAGGAGGTCAGAGGACTTCCTGGAGGTGGCAGCCTGTGATTCAAGGCTTCAAACTGAGTAATAGCTGCTTGCTTCATGGTCAGGGAGAGGGACCTTCCAGGCAGGAGGGGGGCGGTGGGTTCCAGGACCCAGAGATGTGGCACTGCCCAGAGGGTCCAGTGCCGTGTGGTGCTTAGCCTCGAATGCCACCCGCAGGACCCCGGGGCTGCCCTGCAAAGCCCTGGGCAGGGAAGTGACTCTGGCCACCAGGGAAGGCAGATGCACCGTGGAGGCAGGAAGCAGGCTGGTGGAACCGAGTTCCCAGGGGTCAAGGAAGGGGTACAGGAGAGAGATCTGGGAGGTAGAAGTGGTCGGACTTGAGGATCGGGTGGATTTGGAGGGCGAGGGAGCGTCAAGGGTGAGGTTTCGGCAGATTCTTACCGAGCTCATCCTTGGAGCAAGGGATTGGGCACACAGTCGTAGACAACACAGGGTCCTGTGCTCCCAGGTCTATACATGTGGTGGAGAAAAGCTAATCAAATAACCACACATAGGTGTGTCTTTACACACTGACAGGTGCTGTGAACAACAGTGATGGCCTGTAATCTGAAGGCAGGGACTGAGTAGAGGGAGAAGGGGGAGTGGGGAGGGAGAGCCAAATGTCCTGTGGCTGGTGGCAGCTTCCCCAGCGGGGCTGTGTGCAAGTAACACAGGCCAAATCTAGCCCTGCCATTCTTATTTATTTACTTACTTATTTATTTATTATTTTAGTCAGGGTCTTGCTTTGTTGCCCAGGCTGTGCTGTGGCATGATTATGGCTCACTGCAGCTTCAACCTCCTGGGCTCAGGTGATCCTTCTGCCTCAGCCTCCTGAATAGCTGAGACTACAGGCACGTGCCACCATGCCACCATGTTTTCTATTTTTTTGTAGAGCCTGCTGCCCAGGCTGATCTCAACCCCCCCGGGGGCTCAAGCAATCCTCCTGCCTCAGTCTCCCAAAGTGCTGGGATTATAGGCATGAGCCCCTGCACCTGGCCACTTTTTTATAAGTAAAGTTTTATTGAAACATGCCACACACATTCCTATACATATTGTCTACAGCTGTCTTCACACCACAGCAGCCAAGCTGAGTGGCTGTAACAGAGACTGGGTGACTCATAAAGCCTAGAAGGTTTGCTTTCTGACCCTTTACGGAAAATGTTTGCCAACTCTTGCTTTGAGGGTTGAGATGAGCAGCGACCAGGGGTGGGAAGCATGGCCAGGTCTTACACTCTCTTGGGCCTGAACATGGATGCATGGGGTGGCTAGGAGCCCCCGCTGTTGGCTAGGGATGCTGTGAAGAGCTTCAGGGGGTGGCTATGGCGGTAGAGAAGGGGTGGGGAGCAGCAGATATGGAGGGGACCCCCTGGTTTCTGACCTGGGTGGAGAAGACTTAAGAGCACAGAAAGGAAGCAGAGTTGGACGAGGTTTGGCCGCAGAATATGTCTGGCACGGCCTGGAGAGGTCACTAGGAGGTTCCTGGTGATACAGACCTGGACTCTGGGGAAGCTGGGGCTGGGGGTGCAGGGTCTTCAGGTCCTGCAGGGACAGTGATTCCTGCTCTTCTAAGAGGAAGGGGCCAGTGGGAGAAGGAAAGAGGAAGGAAGCCTGGTGGGCAATGGGGGTGGGGGGCTAGATCCCCAGGCCTCTGGACCACAACTGGCCTCTTCCCTTGCAGCATCCACAACGGGGTGATCGCCGTCTTCCAGCGCAAGGGGCTGCCCGACCAGGAACTCTTCAGCCTCAATGAGGGCGTCCGGTGAGTGCCTGCCCGTCCTACCCTGAGCCTGAGTCTGTGAGTGGCAGGGAGGGCCATCCGTCCTCTAGAGAGCGAGGCTCAAGTTAGCAGTGGCTGCAGAGCCAGGACTTGTTCCCCAGCTGCCACGTGGGCCTTGACCTCTGCCGGCCGTCTTCAGGCCTGGGGGACTGTGCCTCCACCCTCCTGAGGTGGGTCTTCAAGGGCATACAGGGCGGGACTTGGACAGAGGCTGGAGGTAACACCCACAGTTCCCCGCCGGGTGAGCATCGCGAAGGATATTTATTCTGCTAAAGAGGAAGGACCCACCTGCCTAGTGACCGGAGTGTCATTCTTGGAAAAGCAATTACAGCCCGGCCGAATGCCCCTTGTTTCCTGTGACTAGCCGGGAAACGAGGACTGTGAAGCAGCAGGCAGAGACGTGCACCGGTGTGCCCACAGAGCTGCTGCCAGCTTCGAGGGAGTGTGCAGTCACCGTTTGTAGTGGAAGAGGCTGAAGCTCAGAGAGGTCAAGAGACTTGCCCGGGGTCACACAGCTGCTTCACGGAGGTGTTTCCCAGCTCTGTGCTGTTTCCCTCAAGCCCTGCCCTTTATTACCTTGTCCCTGTGTCAAAGAATACTTGGGAAAATAGGCAGTAAACTTTCCCCTCATGATCAGGGCGGGAATAAAGGTGGGCAGGGCAGATTTTTATACATAGGCACCCCACCCTTGTGGCAGAGCTGAAAGGGTGCTTACATGCGGGTAAGCTGAGGCCCGGTATGTTACCGCTTACATGTGGGTAAGCTGAGGCCCGGTATGTTACTTGTTGAGGTGTGTCCTGCTTTTCTCTGGTTCACCCAGCCAACTGGGGCCCCAGGAGCCTGTTTTCCTGATAAACCTCTGCTTGGGAAAACAGGAGTTCTTAAGAACCTACAGAGACTGTTGGGTGTTTAAACAACAACCAAAAAAGGGAAATGTTTTAATATTCATGAGCACAGCCCCCAGCATTCACACTTCCTGCCCCTCTAGTCCCTCTGATCCTGAACAGCCTTGGTAGTCACCCAGCTCTGTTGGGCTCCTCCTCCCCACGGGCCAGCCCAGCCTGACCCTCGGGGGCTGACTCAGCAGGTGTCTCCCCAGGAGTGTGTGCTGGGGTGGGGCACAGAGAAGCTGGCCCAGCCTCCTCTCCCAGCCCCGGGGTCCTTACCCAAGGAAATAAGCAGAAATCGGGAGTGGTGTGAGACTTCAAGCTTCTGGGTAGTTAGGTTATTTGGGGCAGCTTCATTTTAGCCGGTTCAAAATTAAATGCTGGGAATCCTTAAGTAATAAAAGCAGGGTTGGGAGGCATGGTGGCTCTTGCCTGTAATCCCAGCACTTTGGGAGGCCGAGGTGGGAGGATTGCTTGAGTTCAGGAGTTTGAGACTAGTTTGGGCAACATAGTGAAACCCTGTATTTACAAAAAATGGAAAAGAATGAGCTGGGCAGGGTGGCGCATGCCTGTAGTCCTAGCTGCTCTGGAGGCTGAGGCAGGAAGCTTGCCTGAGCCCAGGAGGTCAAGGCTATGGTGAGCCACAATCATGCCACTGCACTCCAGCCTGGGTGACAGAGTGAGACCTCTACTTAAAAAAATAATAGCAACAACACAGGGTCTTTTTATTGAAGCCTTGCTCTGTGCCAGCCTTGGGCCAGGAGTTTTTCCACACCTTAAATTCACCCACTGTTCACTGCGGCCCTGAGGGATGGGTGCCTTATTATCTCCATTTTATCTATCTATCTATCTATCTATCTATCTATCTATCTATCTATCTATCTATCTATCTATCTATCATCTTTTGAGTTGGAGTCTCACTTTGTTGCCCAGCCTGGTGTGCAGTGACACACTCACGGCCTCCGCAGCCTTGACCTGCTGGGCTCAGGCAATCCTTCCACCTCAGCCTTCCAGGTAGCCTTCGTGCACCACCACACCCAGCTAATATTTTGATTTATTGTAGAGACAAGGTCTTGCCAAGTTGCCCAGGCTGGCCATTTTTTTTTTTTTTTTTTTGAGTTGGAGTCTCACTCTGTTGCCCACACTGGAGTGCAGTGGCCGCTCCTAGCCACCGCAGCCTCGACCTGCTGGGCTCCGGCGATCCTTCCGCCTCAGCCTTCCAAGTAGCTGGAACTACAGGCGCGCTACCAGGGCCGGCTAATTTTTTATTTATCGTAGCGATGAGGTCTCGCCAAGTTGCCTAGGCGGGTCTCAAACCCGAGGGCTCAGGCAATCCACTCACCTCAGCCTCCCAAAGGCGCAGGATTACGGGGTGAGCTGCTGAGCCCGGCTCCAGGCTGGTCTTAAACCCCTAGACTCAGGCAATCCTCTCACCTCTGCCTCCCAAAGTGCTAGGATTACAGGCATGAGCCACTGTGCCTGGCCTATTATCTCCATTTTACAGACGAGGAGACTGAGGTACAGAGCTGCTCACTGGCACAGGACTGGTGAGCAAAGCTAGAGCTTAGACTTTCTGCCCCACTCCAGGGCCTGTGGGTCATTCAGAGCTTGCTCCTGCCCCCACCCCGTCTTGATCACATGATCACATTAAATTATGTGACATTTATTAAGCATTAAACCCATAATTGGTCACTAGCTTTGATCCCATGAGAATCTGTGTCCAGAGGCATTGATTGCACCAGTGCTGGAATGCTCCCACTCTGTTCTTAAGGCTGGCTAATGAGATTGGAGGGAGACAGGGGTGTTTCCTCAGCCATTCCCAGGCCTAGATAGATGGATAGGGCCAGGAATGAGGAAGAGTGACTGAGGACTCCGAAGTCTGGCCTTAAGGAAACAGGAATTCGTAACAGCCTAAAAAGTCTGTTGGATGTTTAAACAACAACAAAAAAAAGGAAATGTTTTAATATTCACAAGCATAGCAGCAGACACAGCTCCAGCATTTGTACTTCCCAATGTGTATGTGTGTGTGTATATATTAAATGTGTGTGTATATACATCTCTTAAAATACACGTACAATATATATACACATTTATACATGTATACACACACATAGGGTGCAAAATAATGCATATCCATTTTTTTCTTTTTAAAGTATCTTTTAGTGCTTTTTAAAAAGAGATGTGGGGTACAATTCAAGATTAGGTATACAACTGGTCATTGTACAGGTAAAGTTTGGGCCTCTCTCTGGTCCCTACTTCGCCTGGTTTAAAATCATGTACCCTTATTGATATTATGTCCCCCCACCCTGGCAGTTTCTGGCTACTGCCAATCCCTTTCTTGTAGTATTATGATAGGTGTTCAAGATCCACTTATGAGTGAGAATATGTACTCAGTTCTTTGTTTCTGTGATAGATCACTCACTATTATAGATGCTAAATCCATCCAAGTCGCTGTATACATTTTAAGAAAGGAAAAAACTGTATTAAAATTATAATACTCAATATCTACTTGCCTGGTGCATGGTAATGCTAGCATTTGAGTGAGTCATACTACACATTGTTACCGTAATTAAGTTCAATTTAGAAAAGTCATACATGGATAACATCTCTTAGAACATGTATTCTTTTTTTGAGACCCTTGGTATATTTTTGCTGAGATATGATTAACATACCGTAAAATTCACCCTTTTCTGGACGTATGTATGTGTGTATTTTAGAGACAAGGTCTCGCTCTGTTGCCCCAGGCTGATCTCAAACTCCTGGGCTCAAGCGATCCTCCCGCCTCAGCCTCCTGAGCATGAGCCACTGCACTTGGCCAGATATGTTTTCATTTTATGGGTCACATGGTGTCTTTGCTTTACTTTTGGGGGGTCTACCCATCTTTTTTCCACAGTGGGTGCACCGTATCACACTCCCACCTGCCAGGCATGAGCAGTATGGGAAGGTTCTGTTTCTCCACATTCTTACCAACACTTGTTATTTTCCGGTTCTTTGATTCTAACAATAAGCGCAGGTGTGAAGTGGTGTCTCACTGTGGTTTGGATTTGCATTTCCCTGATGACTGATGATGCTGAGCATCTTCTCGTGCTTAGTGGCCATTTGTAGATCTTTGGAGACATGTCTGTTCACATTCTTTTTTTTTTTTGAGTTGGAGTCTCACTCTGTCACCCAGACTGGAGTACAGTGGTACACTCCCAGCCACCGCAGCCTCGACCTACTGGGCTCTGGCAATCCTTCCACCTCAGCCTTCCAAGTAGCTGGAACTACAGGCGTGCGCTTCCATGCCCGGCTAATTTTTGGTTTGTTTTTTTTTTTTGAGTTGGAGTCTCACTCTGTTGCCCAGACTGGAGTGCAGTGGCTGCTCCCGGCCACCGCAGCCTCGACCTGCTGGGCTCCAGTGATCCTTCCGCCTCAGCCTTCCAAGTAGCTGGAATTACAGGCGTGCGCTACCACACCCGGCTAATTTTTTTATTTACTGTAGAGATGAGGTCTTGCCAAGTTGCCCAGACGGGTCTTGAACCTGCGGGCTCAGGCAATCCACTCACCTCAGCCTCCCAAAGGCACGGGATTACAGGCTGAGCCACCGAGCCCGGCTTTAATTTTTGCTTTTATTGTAGAGATGAGGTCTCGCCAAGTTGCCCAGGCAGGTCTCGAACCCGCGGGCTCAGGCAGTCCATTCACCTCAGCCTCCCAAAGTGCTGGGATTACAGGCTGAGCCACCGAGCCCGGTTTGTTCACATTCTTGACCTGTTTTTTTGTTGGGTTATTTGTCTTCTTCTTGTTGAGCTGTGAGAGTTTTCTTACATATTGAGTCTAGACCCTTCTCAGATGCTGATTTGCAAATCTTTTCTCCCTCTCTGGGAGTTGTCTTTTTACTTGCTTTACAGTGCCCTTTGAAACAGGGAAGGTTTAATTTGGATGAAGTCCAATTGTCTGGCCATCTTTCTTGATCTTTTCCTTTGATCACCTTTCTTCTAAGGTACAGAAATGGATGTACTTTGCATAACAATTTTTCCAGATGGAAAAAACTCTTGGAGGATAAGTCACCCTGGGTTGCAGAGTCCTGCCCATGTAAGGACCCAAGCCTCTTTTTGTGTGGATGGCTGTGGATGGCATTGTTCCTGAAGGATACCTCGTGTGACCCGCCTTCTTAGAATCTGAGGCTCCAGGTGCCCTGGCTGTGTTCAGCCGTGAAGGCCATTTCCCCTGTGTTCCATATTCCTGTGTCTTTGATGTCCCTGCAGGGTGCCAGGACGTCTGTCTGGGGCTGCCCATCACCAGCATCTGGGGTGACTGCTGCTGGTCTGCCTTGGACTGTGACCATGTGTAGCCGAGTCCTTGGGGCGATGCAGGAGCTCTGGTCCCCTGCTCCAGTCCCTGCAAGGCTTTTCCTGCCTCCTCCTGGGCTCCTGCCTGAGTCGTAGATGATCCATCCCTACCCAGCTCAAGCATAGGGTCCTGATGGTCCTGTCGTCCCCAGGAGCCAGCAAACCCCCCCGGATGGATTGCCCCAGGCCTCTGCCTTCTGACCCGCTAGTCCTTTCCCCTACCTGTCTTTCCTGAGGTTGATAACCCAGATAACACCCAGGCTATCTCCCTGCCTCCTCCACCCTATCCCCAGGGCCTGGGATTTGCTGCAGCCCCATTCCCAGCTGCAATTTGAGGCCACCACCCTCCCTTCTTCCTTCCTTGGTTGGGATCCCCTTTATTCCCAGCATGCATGGGGCTGGCTCAGGCGCTCCACTTAGGATGTGATTCCTCCTCCCTGCTGTCAGCTCAGCTGAGGTCAGGCAACTGGGCCAGCAGCCTGTCAGCAGGTCCCACGGGGGACTGCTTGGTTTACGCTACCTCGATGTTAAGTTTCCCATGAGCTGGGCTCGGTGGCTCAGCCTGTAATCGCGCGCCTTTGGGAGGCTGAGGTGAGTGGATTGCCTGAGCCCGTGGGTCCGAGACCCGCCT